TTTTTCTCCTTTTCTGGGCGATAATTAGTAGCGTTGTTTAAGGGCAGAGCAAAAAATAACGAAAGCGTATCGCTAGCTGACCCGGGTTATGGTTATTGCTTGGGCACGTGCCACCCTTCGGGAACCCTGGTCCCCCCGAATATCACACACAAAATGAAGAGCTCGCGGCATTAAGTCCCCGAGAGTCGATAATGTCGCGGCATCGCCACAAGAGCAAACACAACAAGCCAGGCAGAAACGGCAAAAAGAGGGAGAAATGGAGACCTCCACTGAGAAAAAAAAAACTAAGGCCATTTAATAAAATATGTCTAACATCAAATTTTTTCCATTAAATTTAAAATTATAAGCACGAGGAATTTATAAACAGTTATTTTTACTAAGAGAAGTTTCTACAATTAATCAGACGGTTGAAATAACCAAGTCTATATTTGTTCCATTATTATATTATTTATTTATTTATTATTATTATATTTACTTATATATTTTTAATTCTACGTCTGTTTTCTTTCCTCAATGTTTTTTTATAAACAAAGGATTATACTACTACTACTACTACTACAATTTATCAGTAATTAAATAAAAACTTCGATAACATAAAGTTTTAGCAAATAATACATAAGACTTTAAATTTACTGAAAATACATTTTTGAGCTCTAGAAATTGTGAATTAATATTTAAAGCCCATGCCTTTTTTTCATATTTTATTTTTACATTTATTACATTACATTTAAACAGTAAAAAAATGTTTTCTAAATAATATTCCCCCAGTGTATTGATGAAAAAACGAGAAAAGCCAGTCTGCAGAACCTTCTGGGGAAAAACTAATAACCAAAAATTGGGTAGGAAACGGAATCGGACTCGGTGAGTCCGGAGATTTGAGAACTGGATGCTGGCGTCGAGCGCCAAAACTCATAAAATTCAAGCCATTGAGTTTTCGAAATCGCTTCGGGCTTCATTTCGATTGCCCCACACCCCACGGTGTCCTTTTGGCCTCTTGACTTTCTGTCGCTCCGCTCCTCGTTGTATGGCCATTTAAATTCGTTACGTTTCGATTGCCGTGAATATGCAGTCAACTTTATAAAATTTATAGTTTAATCTGATAGATAGGAAATTGCTTTGTTTTGGCCCTGACTTGCAAATGGAATGGGTTTTTGGAAACGGGGGAGAGGCTGTGCAAAGTTGGCGAAATATGAATGGGGATGCCGGATAAAATGGGGGAGACTTTGCCAATGCCAAGGCAGCACTTTAAAGCCTTCGACTCCCCCGATAAAAAGATAAACCCAAAAATTTATGCCAGCAAGTAGAATAGAAATAGCAGGAAATCCAAAATTAGATAGAAGTCGAATTTTAAGTGCTCTCTTCTTATAAAAATAATATTTTTTGTTGGCATATTTTAAATGAGCAGTTTTAAAGATATACAGTACCATCCTAAAATATGTACATAATTGTAATGGAATAATGTCATTTCGCGTATCTGTTTTTTCCCAAAAATTATTTAATTCAATATCTCTCATATAGAGCCATTCTTTAATATTTCTCTAACACCCTTTCTGTCTGCCCCATACCATAAAGATATTTAAGTTACCCCAACTTCCTTTAGCCCCATAAATGATGCCGTATTTCTCCTTGTCGCTTTGTGTGTGCGATATCCTTTGGATTACAAAATGGGGAGCCTCCCCACAAACAATGTTCGATCAGGATATCCACCCATGTGCTTTCCAGGCAATTGCCTAATTAAATTTTATATCGAATGTCGTAAAATGAAATTTCAATAAGCACAAGACAACAGAAAGGTGGGGTGTTCGGGATATTTGCATCCCTTTGTGTGCCCATCGATGCCTTAATAATATTGCGATTTCGGCGGACATCTCAGGAGTTAATAACACGGTCAAATATTCCGACCAGGTCAGTATTAAAATCATGCGGTTCATTGACCAAATTCTCCGCCTTGCTTTCAATATCAAAAGTGGAAGTGGAAGTGCTGGGAAAACAGAGCCCAACTGGGAGACGGGTGGTCATAGTCTTTGGCTGTTTACTCAGTGAAGGACATTTGGGCATATGATTACACTTGGATAAATTATATTAGCTTAATTAATAATTAGTTAATTATATTAAAAATTAATTAGAAATATTAATATAGTTCGTAAATATCAGAAATATTTTGAATGATTCAAAATTTTTAGCGGTTTAAAATTTTATATTAAATTCCTATTTTTTTCAGTGTCCAACAAAGCATCGAAGAATTCTGAAGCGGGCAGTTTAACAAGTGGCTTCGATGTTTGCTCAGCCCATCACAACTGAACAGGTTGAGCCATTGAGAACTGAATCGTACTGAACCGAGCTCGACTTTTGGCAAGTCGACTCGTCATCATCGTTTTCATCATCATTGGACTTTGACCACTGCACCAGATATATAGAGATATATAAGGCCAGATACGTATATATGTCAATGACGATGCAAGCCCGGCTTGTTTGTTCTTATCCTTCGGCACTCATATAAAGTTTGTTTGCGGATTTGTGCAGCGCAATATGTCATTGCTGCCTCTTTGGGCCATCGACTTGGATGTTGATGTGGATGTGGATGTGAATATGGGGGCAGCGACGACCACGCTTAATGGCGATGTACGTTCAAGTCAACACACCCTGCACACCCATATACAGCTGCATGGCACACTTGTGTGTTAGCGAGGGTAGATCAGTGTATTCAATAGATAATACTTTTTTTAAATTACAAAAAAAATAGTTAGTTAATTCCAATTTAAGTTAAAAATGAATAGGAATATTTTAAAGAAGGTGTCTTTAAGAAAAGATATCCTTAACATTTTGCTGTTAATTTCAAATTTTGTAGGATTATGTAGGTACATATTTTCTGTCTATGGCCTAGATTAGTGCTTTTGTATAGTTAATACTTATTTTAAATAAGAATTATTTTGTAGGACTATGTACTACAGTCTATGGCTGCATTGTTTTGATCTTATGGCTCTTGACGTTCTTTTGAATGTTTTAATAAAAGTATTTCTATAATTAAATGCGAGATATGACATAAAATATGATTTATTGATTTTCCAATTGGTATTCAAATTAAGAAAATATATTCCAGAACATGATTTAAATTAAATAAATAAACAAAGTCTAAGGAAGCTGTCCGAAGATACGACCTTTATCTGTTAGAGACAAGTCTTAGCCAACTTGAGGTCATGTCAGCTTGGATTTCAAGAAGTTTAAGTTTCCAAAAATTCTATAGACCGCCCTCTTATGTGTGCATATGCAGTTCAGTGTGCAGCGTCGACGTCGACTAACAAATCCTTTTGGCATTATAAACATTATTAAAATTTCATGTTTCCTGCTACGAGCGACATCCCCGACCTGCCACTCCCACTTTGCCTCTAACCACCGCCCCCTATTCGCCGCCCACTCAAAACGCAAACGTAACGAAACATGAAGCTCAAAACATGGAAGGCCGAGAAGTGGAAAAGGACGAGGATTTCGAGGTCCGTATATAGCTCTCTAAATATCCTGACCAGTGGGGCCCCGTACCCCGAAGAGGTCCTCCTCGGATCCGGATCCTGTAGACCCACCACCACCACCACCACCACTTCCCCGGCCATAAGACTGTCTAGCCTTACTTATTTGCAGCATGCTTCATGCTTTATGGTTACTTGGTCAAGGGCCTTTCATGCTCTCTAACACACACATACGCATACTGGCTTAAGCTAACACACACATGCCACACGCACACACACACGCAAACACACACGCAAACACACCCATAAAGACCGAGACACGAAATGCATGAAATTTTGCGCCGTAAATCGTTAAAATGATTTTATTTAAGTAAATATGCAAAAATGCTTTTGTTAGACTCGTAGCATTATGTCCTGGGTCAGAACTGAACACGTTAATATCCGGAATTTAATTTGAAATTTTAACAATCCACATAAAAGAGAGATACGAGCAGAGAGTAGGTAAATATTTAATACCGAATGTGCTTTATTTTACGACTGGCATGGTTTGGGGTCCACATGTCGCATGCGAAATCTTTGATGGCAAATCTCAAAGAGAGATGTGGTAAATGGAAATAGTGCCGTGAATGATGTTTTATTTATGCAAATTATAAGCACTATTTGAGGGGGTAGACGAGAGTGAGTAATTTATCAAAACTCAGGTAAATACATTATGACTAAATTGCTTCTAAACAAAAGGCAAAAAAAAGGAAACGTAGAATCAACATGGCTAGCAATATTATACTCAATGGTATGAACATAGGTGGTAGAATTTAAATAAAGATTTAAGTTAGTTACCTTGCCAAGAAATAAAAGGAATACATTTCTTGCTTTACTTTTAAATCAGACAAAACTGCAAGGTTTCAGTAAAACATTCAGTAACCGTTTTGATTGGATTAAATTAATAACCAAATTATAAGTGTGCTTATCCTACTATTAATTTCAATCAATTATATATTTTTCTTAAATTTTTCAAGTAAAAGTTCGCGAAAGCTGTTTGACCTTTGCTCTCGGCTCGTTCGAGTCGCGGGGTCCAAAACCTTTTAAACAGTTGCGAAACTCCTCCAGGTCATTGTTATGGCAACTTCTTCCATGCAATAGCTTTGCAATTTTCTTGCCAACTCAGAAACTTCAGCTGCGGCAAAGGCTTTTCTCCTAACTAGCTGTTCTGCGGGTGGAAACGGGCGTGGGCGTGGGCATTGGGTGGTGGGAAAATCTATGGAAAATTCTGAGGAAGGCTAGGGCTAGAAGTGAGAGGTCTCTTCTGGCTGGCTAAACCCAAACGCACTTAACACTTGCCACTGAGTTTTGCGTAACTTTTGCGCCCGGAATCCGGCGAACTACTTTCGTACCTGGGCAGGGGGACTAAAGTCTACTTCAGTGCGTCACGTAGGCGCTTCAAAGTTTTCATTTTTGCAAAATTTACGATTTAACGTTAAAGTGGAGCAAAACAAAAAAAAAAAAGTATCCCCTATATATTCCGTAGTATATATACGTATGTACTACTTAAAAGAATGGCAAACTTTGAACACGACCGAAATCCCACTAAGTAAGTGTACGCCCAGTTCAGCTCGGTTCGGGTTCCGGGAATATCCTCCGGGTTAGCCGGGGCTCTCCATGTTCTCCGGGCTCTTCGGCCGGGTTCAGCTGCACGTACTTTGGATTTTGTTGCGTCTCCTTCTTTATTGCACTTAAGATTTACTCATCAGCAGGTGTGCCCGTGGCCGGGTGGCTTCCATCTTTCGTCTTTCGTCTTCCAGCCCCAAAACCGGAATCTACGATTGAATTTCAGACAGTATACGGCTCCCAGCCAGCCAAACCACCCAAAACCACCAACTGGCGGCCAAGGAAAACGCAAAGGCTTTTGCAATTTTTATGTGCAATTTTTTACATGAGAACCAAAGGCGGTATGAGAGTGTCGCTTGTGGCTCGTTAAGGTTAAGGGGTGGTGGGTGGTTTTTGGGGTGCGGGTGGAGCAGTTGGGATGCCACTGATAACTGGAGAGTGGATTAGTCTCTGGGTATCGTTTGGAAAGACCGAGCTCACAGGCTCATAAAATATTGAATGTAAATTGCAAGCTTAAGTTTGGTGTATCTGAAACGCGAAAACAAGTTTAATTGCCACCAATTGTGAAACAGTATAATACTAAACAGTTTAATTCTGCATATAACATGTATCTAAGACTTTTTTTTTTGAAATACCCTCCGCCCCACGTTGGGCGCCACTATTAAATATAGGTAATGAATTTTGACATAGATTACTTCTTACCCTCTTTTATTTAAATATTAAGTACCTATGGACGTGGCATAGCTTTGTAACCCTAATTGAAATTCAAAAAGGTCCCACATGCCTCACACCTAATAGCATTCCTAGAGGGTATTGAACACGAGATCTCGGCACATTTTTGCTATGATTTAGTGTGCACCACCTGCCGAATCATCGCCACCCAGTGCCCGCAAATACAATTTAAATTTTTAAGCGGCATCTACTTTGGACACGCCTTGGCCTGGGATTCGTGTCACGCAGCCTCGACGGGTGGCAGAGTCATCAGCATCCCGCCCCTCCTGCCACCCCACCATCAGCATTGAAGCATCAGCATGTTGTCCTTTGGCTTCGCTTTTGCCATTTTTTTTTTTGCATGGGAGCTCTTTGTTGAATGTTGCAATTTCAACCCGTTGATGGATTTGATGGTTTTTTCCCTGTGCTCTTCTTTTGTGCACTCAAAGAAAAAAGTATGTCTACACAATTGATCTGGGAAAATATTTTTTTACTTAAGTAAAATGAATAAAAACCCATACAAATTTGTAGTTATTGTGTCAAGGATTTAATAAATATTATTATTATCTCCTTTGGACAATTTCTAAATTTGATCAATTTACATTTACTAGTTAGATTAGTACAAATTATGATTATTATAGGCTCTAAAATTTGTGTGTCCTAAACAAATATTCAAGGGAATATGATAGTTATAAAACACAATAGGAATCTCTCTCTTTCTTAAGAAGGCGTTTTATTGAAATCAAAAATGGAAACAAATCTTTTCTTAAACTGGTTGCCATTCCTTTTTCTCCAGTGCATCTATGTGTCCTGGCAGCGGCTGCAAAATCAGCGCAAATCAGTGGCAAAAAGGGGCCGCGGACGCAAAGGGGGCGGAACAAACTCAAATTGATGACACCCGCAGCGTCCTGTCTGTCATTGATACTTGCAAAAATGCTCCTTTACATGTCGCACGCACACGCTGCGCTGAAATGACACTAAATTTGGTTGATTAGATGCCCGCCAAACAACAAATCGGATTTGCCTTCCAGCCCCCCAAAAGTCCCCACAATACCGCTTTTCTTTACCCTGGAATATATTGTATATCAGTCTCATTGTCGGCGCGAACCAGTCGCAATCAATGGTACTATAGAATCTGCATTAGGCTCAGGGCGTGTTAAAAAACCCTTTTGCCTAAATGGGGACAGAAAGCTGGAATTTAAGAATATATTCTAGGTATCGCTCAAATATAAATATCACCAAACTTCTTAATGAAAAGGTGTGGTTATTGAAGTTAATAAGAAGCGGGTATAAAATAAATGGTCGTTGGCCAGTAATATCTATATATTTTGTATATTTTTAAAGCCTATATCAATTGAAAATGTTATGTTGATAAAATGCAGCCCGCATTGGTTTTGCTAAGCTTAAAAACTCTATAATTGCTTTATTTAAAGCTCATCGATATATAAAAAAATGGGTTTTGAGCTCCATAAACTATGATGATATTCACTTTTTGTTAGTTCAATATTTTCACGTTTTCACAGCCAATTTTCCTAATCCATTTTCATCACATGCATGTGGTAATTCTATTTGATGGGTAACCCTGTTCGGGAATAAACTGGTTTCTTTTTTTGTCGCTTTCAGAAGCCCCATCAAAAGTTCCGTTTTCACGTCGTTTTATGTACCAGTTAACGTCAGCCTAATTGACAAATCTGCGCTTAACAAGCAAACGCAATCTGCTGCAACACTCACATAGATCCACATGGACGGCGGGCTTAGGGGGTCGAGTGCAAACGACAGTCGAGTGGGGGGCATATAAATTAACACAAGTATTTTTACCTGAACCACACCCACCATGCAGAATGCATGCTAACAACCACTTAGCGCACACGTACCACCCACTTCCTCATTCCCCGATTCCCCCACCACATACCCCTTTTTGGAGCCCCGCCAATGATGAACAACTATTAAAGAAATTACGAGCTGATTCAAACGCTCGGTGTCTGGGGGACTCGAATAGATTTGTGATGGGGGTTACGGGGTACGGGAACTGGAAACCTTTGGGGTTGCGTTTTATTTGCAACAATTTGACGCAAGTTGAAATGCATGCGGGTGCGTTAAAAGTTGCCGAATTTCGAATTTTATGTGCGCTCCTCTAACACTAGCAAAAATTTGAATACAAAAAGGATTTTTAAAAAACCATTTCCTAATTTAAATTATATTTTTCCAATTCAAGTATTTTAAATATAAAAAAGTGTTTATACAAAACATTAAGTCGTGTACATGTACTTTTAATATAATAAGAATAAACGCATTTTCTATTTTTTAAATATAATAAAGTTTGGGTATAATAATCTAAGATTACAAAATATAGCAGTACCTTTATAATCAAACATTTTTCAGTTACTTAAAATTCTAATTCTAATTCTTTCCCCAAATTTGGTTGTAGATTTTAAAAAACTCTGTGATTGTTTCTTGAATGAATACATTGTTGGTTGAGTGAATTAATAACCTTTTCTTTCAAGTGCACTTGCCGTTTTCCCTGAACTCGGATCTCCCGCATACGGGAAACTTTGCTGCGCGACAGCCTGTGTAAATAGTTGTCTATCGAGGGGGCTAGAGATACGGATACCATACGATCCAGGGGGAGGGGCGGAGAATGCGGAACGGAGTCGGGATTGGCATAATATGCCCTCGGTGGGTCGGCCAGACGTACAACCCAGAGCCGAAAGAAGCGCCAGCCTCAATCAAAGTTGGGCGTATAATGATTGTGCCCACAAAAAGCCAGCAGGATAAAGTTTTTCGCACAAGCGGTTGCATCTTTGCATCTCCATCTCCATCTTTGTCTTAACCAGCAGTTTTAATTTCGCCACAAGGCGATGCGACGCTGCCGAGCGCATCTTCAATGAAATTTTAAACAAATAAAATGGCTTCGACTGCGCCTTCGTCTTCGACTTAATGATGTGGCTGCCACCCCGCCGTTGGCCTCGCACTTAAATTAGTTTCTGCCAAAAAAGCCAAGGAGAAGAAAGTATAACAAGGAAGGAATTTCGGGCCAAGAGTCTGGGCCTGGATAACGCCTTGTTTGGCGAACACTGGATAACAAAATGAATCGAAAATAGAGATATACCAATTTATTTAGTATTATTTATAAGTTATAATAAATTAACCCATAGAATTTTCTTTAAAAATATATAATTTAATTATTACTTTATTATAGAAAATATTTGGATGTTGTAATAATAATATACGTTTTTAAATTCTGCCACAGGAAAAATTCTGACGTTCTCATCTGAGTTGAAAATTTTCCTAAAAATAGTACGACATTTTTGATGTTGAAAATGTTTTTAGTTTTCTCGAATCAATTGGAATTGGCGGTATTTTTGTACATTGTATATCTGAACAATTAACTATAAGTTTAGTCCGCAGAGTATACTTCAAAGTTATTAAATAAACTCTATTCTAATATTGAGAACATTGATACCAAAATGTACTTACACGGTTTTTAAGAACGAATGTTCTCAATTCAAGAACAATGTTCTTGGACATTTCTTTCTGTGTGGTTTTAAAAAAGATGGCTTTTGTTAAAACAAAGTTACCAACAACAACCCGAGATAGGATGGGCTACCAAATTGAAAGAGCGCCTGAGGCATGATTTTTGTAGCCCACTGTTTGATGTTTGCGAGAAGTGGAGAAAACTTTTGCTGCCCCTACTATAACTCCTGAAATATCAACAGCATTAGGAGTCTTTAAACTTGCCCCCGATGGCTGAGTCAGCTTAATGAATGCAACCCTATTGGCGTTTTAGCCCCGAACCACCCGATATTTCAGCCCGATTGGCGGGCCGAGCCCCTGGCTGCAACTTAAATTGGAACTGCTTCCGGCGGCTTTAAATACCGTTAGTCACGCACCCAAGTTGGTTCGTTCCTTCGGTTCGGTGGGGTTCAGTTCGAAGGTGTCTTTAACCGAGGTCCGTTCGCTTACATTGTCTCGGCTCTACGTAAAGCCATGGCCAAAACCGAAAGCCAGAGCGACTATCATGCAATTGGCAGCGAACCATTCCGAACTGGCTTATCTGACCCCTCCTCCATCACACGATCCAATATGTCTGACTAACTGACTCAGCGCTTTGATTGCCAGCGGAGCGGGAAAGGAAGCAACTTTTCTTTCTGCCGCTGCCTTGGCGGTTGGCTTCCGTTTTAACCACCCACCACCCATCACCCCAACATCCCACCACTCATCCCCGCCAAAAAACTTCAACTTTGGCTTAATTTCGCGCACGAAGTAATACGAAAAGGAGAATTGGTGGGGAGGCGGTAACACGTGCGGCATCCTTAACACATTCCAACAACTGAAACTACATAATAAAACACTTGGCGCTAAGGTTAAATTCCTCTTTCTTATTCTTTACAGAGAAAAAAATATTTAATGCTTGTTTAAAGGTTACACAACATCATATTCGTTCTATCAAATTATAAAGTTCACGCCAAAAATAAAAATGTTGGTTGACCCCCATAACAATTTAAGGAAGAAATCAGCTAGTTAAATTGCAAGCAGAGCCTTATAAAATATTACAATGTGCTTAAGCTTTATAAATTTCCAATAAAACATTGTAGCTTACTTTATATTTACTTAGAATATGATACGTTTTAAGTGCAAAAACGGGGTTAAAACATTTTTATGAGTAAAACAAAATTGTTATCAACATCTGTTTTGATCCTGTCATTGCATCTAATAA